AATTGCACTCATTTCACACGCTAGCAAGGTTATGCTCAAAATCCTCCAAGGTAGGCTTCAGCAGTATGTGGACCAAGAACTCCCAGAAGTACAAGCTGGATTTTGAAGGGGCAGAAGAATTAGAGACCAAATTGCGAACATGCGCTGGATTATGGAGAAAGCCAGAGAGTTCCAGAAAAACATCTACTTCTGCTTCATTGACTATGCAAAAGCCTTTGACTGTATCGACCACAACAAACTATGGCAAGTTCTCAAAGAAATGGGAGTGCCTGACCACCTTATCTATCTCCTGAAAAATCTATATGTGGGACAGGAAGCAACAGTTGGAACTGGATATGGAACAACTGAATGGTTCAAAATTGGGAAAGTACAGCAAGGCTATATATTGTCCCCTGATTATTTAATTTATATGCAGACTACATCATGCAAAAGATTGGACTGGATGAATCTCAAACCAGAATTAAGATTGCCAGAAGAAATATCACCAACCTCAGATATGCAGATGATACCACTCCATGATCAATGCGGATGGTGACAGCAGCCACTAAATTAAAAGATGTCTGTTTCTTGGGAGAAAAGTGATGACAAACCTAGACAGCATCTTAAAAACCAGAGACATCACCTTGCCAACAAAGGTCCGCATAGCAATGTATGCTATGGTTTTTCCAGTAGCAATGTATGGAAGTCAGAGCAAGACCATAAAGAAGGCTGACCGCTGAAGAATTGATGCGTTTGAATTCTAGTGCCAGAGGAGACTCTTGAGAGTGCCGTGGACTGCAAAGAGAACAAATCTATCCATTTTGAAGGAAATCAACCCTGAGTGCTTACTGGAAGGATAGATCCTGAAGCTGAGGCTTCAATACTTTGGTCATCTCATGAGAAGAGAAGATTCCCTGGAAAAGACCCTGATGTTGGGAAAGTGTGAAGGCAAGAGGAGAAGGGGATGACAGAGGACGGGGTGGTTGGACAGTGTCACCGAAGCTACCCACATGAATTTGACTCAACTCCAGGAGGCAGTGGAAGACAGGAAGGCCTGGCGTGCTCTGGTCCATGGGGTCAGGAGGAGTCAGACACAACTTAACGACTAAACAACAACAACAATCTAGTCTTTAATGTGTCACAGTTGTTTGGGTTTAGAATAAGTCTGAACTTCAGCTTGAAAACTTAAAATGAGAAAAAAGTAATTTGAAATGTGTTTCATTGCAAACCGGATAAAATTTCAAATTCCTTTTAAGTAAGGTAAAATGTTTGCAATGTGCAAATCACCTGTTCTGTTTCTTTTCTCCCTTTAAGGAAACACTTTGGAGAATACTGCACACATCCGATGCCTGAAATAGTATTTTGGGAATGTAAGACAGAATGAAACAGCAACTAGTTTTACTCACTATGTTTGTGCTGTACTGTCCAATTTGTGGTATTGCCACATCTCACTCAGAGCCAACGTCTTAACGAAAGAAGGCATGCCTGTAGCCTGAGGATCTTTTGAACAAAAGACAGGATACAAATTGTTAAAATAAACAAATACAATCTCAATCTAGAAAATGTGTCCGAAGCCCATCTCTTACCTGAATCTGGGAATAAATATTTATTGGATCCTTCTATGACGGTCAGGTCAGCTGCTTTCCATTTCCATCTCAAGGCAAGAAAACACAAACGCAGGGACTTGATCCGTGCGATGTTCACAGAAGCAAGGCAAGTAAGGATTGGAAGGGGAGTTCCCCCTTCCTAAAGACTTCTCTTGCCAGAGCTTGTGCAACAAGAAGACTAATGAGTTGTGATGGTGATGCTCCATTCCCTACTTTGCTCCAAATTTAATAATCCACAATCCTCATTACATCAATTTTTGTTTCTATCAGGCTGTCTGTCTCTGCCTATAGTTTTTTTTTCTCTTGAAAGCTAATAGAAACTGATCAGGCAGTTATCAGTCTGCGCCATGTCCTATTTGTTTGATCTCTCTTGAAAGCTAACAGAAACTTCAAATTAAAATGATCAGGCAGTTTTCAGTCTGCGCCATGTCCTATTTGTTTGATAATCATCTCATTTTTCATTCTGTGTAATTTTTTTAAATGAACCTTCACATTAAATTATAATTTCCCCCATAAAATGTTCCTTCTGACATATGCGTTGCCCAAGATAGGTCCCTTTTTGGATGCAGGTTTTTGACAGGGTCCTGAGGGGCCTCAGTCATGACCCTCTTTAGAAATACTTAGTGGACTCACGGGAGGACTGCCTTGGGAAGCTGCAAAGCCAGCGTCCACCAGGACCTGACTCTTCTCCGCTCCACTCTGGGGCATCCACCCAATCCTCAACCTCACTCTCTTCCTTCTCTTCACTACGGACTGCCTTCAGCTCACCCTTGGGCTCCCCTTTTATTCTCTTCCTGGTGGGAGATATTATTTTCCTACTTTTCCTGACTTTCTGGCCCCTCTGGGTTTCTCTAGTCTCCTGGCCCCAGTGGAGAGTCCAGTCCAGGATAATATTCAAGAAAAGGGATCCATCTTGTGCCTACCACATATCCTTGGCAGGGGACCCACGGAGAGCCAGTGGGACATGGAGGCAGATCTATTCTGAGCACCCAAGCTCACCCCATCACAAGATCTTATGTTTAAAATGGTTTTATACGTCTCGGTAACATGCCCTGAGATCTTGTGATGCAGGGTGGCTATAAACATTATAAATAAACAGACAAAATTCCCTAAAGTGTGAAACAAAACCACTAAATAAGTATAAAGTTCCTTTGAATCTGACAAAGCTATCCTGCTCTAAAAGATCTATCTATTCCCACATCCTGTTTCCCACAGCAGCTGCTCAGATGACTTCAAGAAGTTGCCAGACAGACCACAAAAGACAAGTGACTGATATTCAGAGGCTTTTCTGCCTTTGAGTACCTTTCTTTATATAATATTTATAGGCAGGGTTGAAGAGGGACAGCAACCGTATTCCTAGTCTGGAAGCAAATCTAAATGTTGCTTCTGGCTTTTTAAAATAGAAAACTTTAAATAACTAGTAGTTGCAATTATAAAACATTGTCACAACTTCTTGGAAGTACTACCTAAAGTACGAAAGTAAAGTCTTGGTGCCATCGTTGCTTGTTGTGAGTCTTGGGGAGATTATGTTGCAGGAGAAGGTCCCGGATGGAACACAGAGCACCTGGTGGAAGCAACAAGAGGTACACAGTGGAAGAACAGACACACACACACACACACACACACACACAGAGAGAGAGAGAGAGAGAGAGGAGAGTCAGTAAGAAGGGAAGGGTGAGGAAAGAAGAAATGAAAGGAATAGGGGAGATAGAACACACCAGCACCATTATCTCCTGAAACCAGGAAGGATTGTATAGCTGGTCCTCTAGACCTGTGGTCCCCAACCTTGGGCCTCCAGATGTTCTTGGGCTACAACACCCAGAAGCCTTCACCACCACCTCTGCTGGCCAGGATTTCTGGGAGTTGAAGCCCAAGAACATCTGGAGGCCCAAGGTTGAGGACCACTGCTCTAGACATCTGTGGCAAACAAGTCAAACCTGGAAAGGAGGGAGTTAAGTCTACAAATGAGCCTCCATCTAAGCTGGCAGAAGATCCATTGGTCTAGATTCCAACCCTGCCTCTCCCTGCCTCCCAGTCTTCCTAGCTGTGCCTGGACCATTGTCCTGAAGCAATGCAGAAACATGGGAGAAACACGGATGCCCAGAGCCATTGTTTGTGTCCACTGGCTCGGTTCTGCCTCCTGCAGAGTTGGCTGCCTCATCTGGCCAGAGAACTCCTGTAGCACAAGGCTAAACACCTGGGAAGCCTGGCTGCAACTCATTCCCATTCCATGTTGCTTCCTCTTAACACAGAAGTGCCCAAAGCTGCTTTATACAAGGACCAAGAGAAGGGCCTCCCTTAAGACACAAGGAAGGTTGTATGGGAAGATATAGTCGGCCAGATGGCCTGGACCCAAGCCTTATAGGACTTTATAGGTCATAACTAGCACGTTGAAATTGGGCTTGGGCTTGGACCTGGACCAGTAGCCAGTGTCGCTGCTGTAAGAGGGAAGTTATAAACTCCCTGTAATCAGCCTCAGTCTGTAGTCTGGCTGAAGCCATTTTGTACAGGCAGAAATTTCTGAGACATGTTGGAAGGCAGCCCCATGTAGAGTATCTTTTAATAATCCAGATAGCATGCAATTAAGGCATGGGTTACTGTAGCCAGATCAGATGTTTCAAGGAATACACACAGCTGGCGCACTAGCAAATGCCCTCCTGATCACTGCCAAAACCGGGGCCTCCAGGCTCATCCATGAGTCAAGGATACTTCCCCAACTGCGACCCTGGTTTTTCATGGGCAGAGCAATCACATCAAACACATATAGAATGGCTATTCCCTGATCTGCCTTTTGATTGACCAGGAGCACCTCTGCCTTGTCTGGATTAAGCTTCCCTCCCCTGATTGCCCTCATCAATCCATTGCCCATAACAGACACTGGTTTAGAACAGGAACAGATTCCTTGGAGTTACATGGAAAGCAGAGATGGTTGGATCTCATCCTCATCCTAGTGACACCAAATTCCATAATTCCAGACAACCACTCCCAGGAGTTTCGTGTAAATATTAAATAGCATGTGGAAGTTGGGGGAAAGACAAGGCCGTAGCTTGTGAGATATCAAAGGTCAAGGCTTTGAACAGGAATCCCCCAGCACCACCTTCTGAGCTCGCTGTTCCAAGAAGCACCAAAGCCACTGCAAAACAGTGCCTCCGAGTCCCATCCCAGAGAGATGATGCAGAAGGACACCATGGTCAGTGGCATCAAATGCCATTGAGAGGTGCAGCAGAACAAACAGAGACACACTCCCTCTGTCTAGTTGCTAAAGTAAGTTGTTCACTAAGGCAACCCAAGCAGCCTCTGTCCCATAACCAGGTCTGAATCCAGATTGAAATGGATCCAGGATCCTGATAATTGCTTTTGTTGTATTTTTACTCTCAGGATAAGGCCAGGTACTTGCCTAATTTTTTGCCCCTGGTGGCAAAATAAGTTGCCTATCTCATTGCTAAGAGTGTAGTGTAGCAGATGGGCAAAATACGGCCCTCCAGATGTTGCTGAACTGCGACTCCCATAATTCCTAGCCCACACAGCCGATAGTGAGGAGATTTGGGCCTAGCCCACACAGTGAGGAACGTTGGGATTTGCAGTTCAGGAACATCTGAAGGACCGCACTTTGCCCAGGTCTGGTAGTGGATAGGGTGAGGAGTTACAACCCAGGAGGAAAACACAAGAGGGTAGCCGGCTCTCACCACTTACTGAAGGCATGTATTGCACTGTCAAACAGCTCTTACAGTCAAAACTTTCTTCCCAGAATTCAGGTGAAATTTCCTTTCCTGCCATTTCAATCTATCAGTCTGGGTCTCACCTTCTGGAGCTACAGAAAACAAGCTTGCTCCACCTTCCACAAGACAGCCCTTCAAATAGTTGAAGATGGCTACCATATCCATCCATCCTCTCTTTTTCATGTCAAACATGCCCATCTCCCGCAACCATCCTTGGTTTCCAGATCATTGCTCATCGTGGTCATCCCACTATGGACACATTCTAGCTTGCTAAGATCTTCCTTAAACTGCAGTGCCCAGAACTGGATAGAATATTCGAGGTGAGTATAGCAGGATAGAATGGTACCACTGCTTTCCTCAATCTGAACACTAGATAGATTCCTGTTCATACAACCAAGTATTGCATTTGCTTTTTTCCCTCCTATGTCACACTCTCAACTCATGTTTAGCTTGTGGCCTGCTAAGACCCTTGGCTCCTTTTCACATGTACCCCTGCCAAGCCAGTTGTCACCTAGTCTTGCATCTGTGAGCCTCCCATTGGCTTGCTCAGACAGAGAAGCAGCGAAGCGTTGGACTGTATCAGCTTTGAAGGTGCACATGGCTGTTCCAGGACTCAGTAATGGGAACTTGGCCATTTTCTGAGGTTGAGGTGACACCAGTATACATATTCTATAGTGAGACAGTTTTGACAGCTCCACCTCTTCCTTGCAGGGTTTAAAGACCTAGGCTGTGCTTGCGTAGCTTTCACTGTTGAGATGAGGATCCCCAGGTTTGCTGTTCTCCTCCTCTTCATCCTCCTAGGAAAGAATAATGGGGTCATTATTGACAGATGTAACTTGATAGCTGCCCTCTGGAACCAGGGGTTGGAGGGGTTCGCAGGTGCCACAATAGCAGACTGTAAGTACCTCTCATTTTATTCAGCCTTTCTCTCTCTCTCTCTCTCTCTCTCTCTCTCTCTCTCTCTCTCTCTCTGTCTGTCTGTCTGTCTGTCTGTCTGTCTGCAGCCAGCTCACTGTTTCATTTGCAACAGCAATTCCAGGCTTTACGCACATGGAGACCTCATCATCATCATGTGGCATCAAGTCAATTCTGACTTATGGCAATCCTTTTTAGGGTTTTCCAGGTAAAGAACACTCTGATGTGGTTTCCCATTCCCTTCTTCTGGAGGCTTCCTGGGACTGTGCAGCTTGCCCCGAGGCCATTCAGGCCAGCCCTCCTTGCAGGAGGCATGGGGGGGAATCGGACTTCTAACATGTGGCTTCTCAGACAAATACATTACCTAAACCACTGAGCTACACAGCCAATCTACATAAAGATCTAAGGCGTGCATGTTTAAATCTCTGTGAAAAGTGTAAACATTAAATGAATTAAGCCCACATCAAGAATAGTAACATGGATGCGGTTTTCATGGGTGGCTGTGCTGTCTCATGAGATTTTTGACACAGGTGGAATATCCAAATGGTGTGTAGCACAATACCATTTAGTAGAGGGCCACAAATGTAAACATTATTCAGACTGCAGCATCCAAAGTGTGGAAAACTTAGGTATCTAATGCATTGCTGCACTGTCACTGCTCCCAGACTCTGGACTCCCACGGGAGGCCAGGCTGGCTCCATCTTTGCTGTCCTTCCACAAGCAGGTGAAGACCTTTCTCTTCAAACAAGCTTTCCCTTAGTGTCAGTCTATTATTCTTATTAGTTTTATTTATATGCTGCATTTGTGAATTTCGTTGTATGTGTATATACTTACAATGACAATAAATTATTATTATTATTATTTCTCCCAACGAGGGACCCAAAGCAGCTCACAACATTGAAATTCACACAATTTAAAAACACAAGTTAAATATTAAAAGATAAATTAAACAATATATGATTTAAGAATTAAATTAAAAGATTAAAACAAATCTAGGAGACAATAAAGAGGATTGTTTGTATTTTTCTGCTTCTGAATATTTTTGTAATGCTTTTGCATTAATATCATGTTATTAATTTAATATTTGAATAATTTACTGGTTTTTAAAATTTATTTATCTATCCCTTCATTCATTCTTCCATTTTTTTAACCACCGAATTAGTTCAGGGCACTACTCTGGGTGGTTAGCTAGACAAAAAGTTTAAATAAATAAATAAATAAATAACACTGTCATCTACTGCATTTTCAGGTGATTTAAATTTTGAAGGTTCAGCTTAGAGCTCTATTAAGCTGGGTTTTTATGGACTTTTTAAAGTAAAAGATGATATGCTGCATTTGATGGGTAATTTCACCCATATCTGGAATGGTCATCAGCATAACCAATGGCAAGGGATGACAGGAGATATCGTCCAGCTGTACAGGGAAAAAAGCCCTACACTTCCTCCCATTGCTGTTTAACAGCTCTGTAAGAGGGATTCAGATGAGTCGTCTGCTTCCACTAAATTTTAGTCTGCTTTTCTCTGCCTGCAGGGATTTGTTTGGTTTTCCACAGCAGCGGTTTTGACACTTCGGCCCAAAATGTGGGGCCAAAGGCCAGCAACCATGGCCTCTTCTTGCTCAGCTCCCTCTGGTGGTGCAACAATTCCAAGACCCCATACGCACGCAACTACTGCAACTTAAGTTGTGAAGGTAACCAACTGCAGCTCAACAAACACTTTTTAAAATGAGAGATGCCCCCTGTTTCTACAACACACATTTTTGTTATCCAAGAGACACATGCACAAACATAAGCTACAGTTAGAAGACATCACCAGACAGGGTGGTTGGTTGGGTGATGGAATCAGGGCCTTTCCTTCTTTCTAGTGGCCAAGAATAGTGCTTAATCATTGACAGATAATGGAATTATTATAGAATTATCTATATAATTTTACGTATTATAAAGAGGAAAAGTTGTCCATAAAGTCAACTTTTTTTTGGCAATTCCAGAAATACCCAATACCTGCTCCATAGGTATCCTAGCCAATATTTACATGGCTGGAATTCCAACTATGAAAGCTGTCCCTGTGGCCTGATGAGGTGCCAGTCACGTGTCAGGCCACCAGCAGCTCAGACCTCCTCAAATTCCCCAGGGCAGCTTCTGCAGTTAGAGCACCATGCATGTAGAAATACCAAATAAGATATTAGCGAGTGCAGGCCATCGTTTTTCTTCACTAACGTGTCTCATGACATGTTGACGTCATTAAATGCCCCAATTGATTTTTAATCTCATTTTCTGACTCACCCAAATCCTCTCTCCTCCAGCGCTCCAAGATGGAGACATTGCCGATGACATCTCCTGTGCAAAGCAAGTTGCGGAAGAGAGCAAAGGCCTCGGAGCATGGTAAACAGGGACAAGATGGCTGTCTCTATCCTGAGTGTCGCTGTTACTCTGGAGTGTGGGCTGATACAAATGTGGGAGAATGTTGTATATTTGTTTGAAAAAATTTACCACAATTCATCCATTTCCTCATTATTCAGGATGGAAAGAACTTCAGCTTTTAAAAAACTGAATGTGGAAAGGAGAAAAACCAATAGATCCCCCCCCCCCAATTACTACTTAGGGGACTTCAAAAAGGGTAACAGAGGCCTTCCAGATGATTTCCACTTCTGCCACTTAGTTTTGACCACTTTTGTTCTGAGCTGGCCTGAAAACAGCCTCTTTTTCCAGTGTTTATTAGAATTGCCATCCACAAGTTCCTCCCCACACCACTCCCGCCACCTTTCCATGCGGCAGCCGTAGAAACAAACGACTCGCACAACCGCAGAGAGAGGGGCTTCTTGCTCCCTTTGTAGCTGAAGGTCCGTCACCCTGAAGCAAAATCACTCAAGAAAAAGCAACAGTGAGGCAAGCAAGTGGCATTTCCCAGCAGCTGCTGAGGACTACAAGGGTCTCCACCCCCCCCCACCTGGTCCTTGCCAAGCTGAGGGGAAAGGATCATGTCCAGTCCTTCATATATTCTGACCTCCTCCTCAACTCTTTAAAAGTGGGTGGGAAGTGTTGAATGGACCGGTTGCTGACTGACCTGGTGCTTGCCTTGATGGTTGTATCTTCTCATCTCCAGCTGTCATGCCACTTCCCAACTTCTGCTTGGAATCACCTCCCCTTCACACCCAGTCCCTGTCCGTCTGAGGGAGAGGAAAAGAATAAACCCCCCCACCAAGGGAGCTGACAGGTCAGGTTGTAACTACCCTGAATGGAATTGAGTTTGTTTTTGCACACATCCGTCTGTCCGTCCATCCATCCGTTCGTTTAGGTGGACAGAGGAAGTAGTTTAATTCCAGGGCAGCACAAAAACCTTTTTAAAAAACCAAGGGAGAAAACACACACTTCAGGCAGTGAGGGAAGCATCGCAGAGTAAAAAAAAAGACACACACACACACACATTAGAACAAAAGAGGTAGAAAAAATAAACCAGTGTTTTAAGTGGGGGTGCAAAGTGTGGGGAAATAAAAAGAAATAACACTTGAAATAAGGGGAACATCACCTGCACCTTGGGGGAATTTCTAATATGATCCAAACCTGAAAGGGAACTTAAATGGGGACAAATGCGACATCCAAAGGATCCTAGAATTAAACGTGGCATCCAACAAAGAAGAACAACCCAGTTACAGGCAGAAAGTTGATCCCAACCATAGAATCTGGTACTACGTGTATAGAATAGCATCACGTGCCAAGAGGGTTTCATTTCCAGAAGGCAGTTTTCCCACTTTTTCCAACCAAGCATGTATTGATTCAAATGTACTAACAGTACTTTGACAGATGATTTCTTGTTACAGGAGAGCCTGGAGGACACACTGCAGGGGAAACGATCTCAGGCAATATGTCACGGGCTGTGAGTTTGAAGAATTCACTACCGCAGCATCAGCCCCAGTAAAAATTCCTCCTGCTGACCATCAGGCTAATAGCACACTTCCAGGTCCTGCAAAACCCACAGTATCAATTGAGGAGCCCCCCAAAGATACACAAGGCAGCACAAGGCCTCCAAAGCCTACTACCGCGATCAAGGAGGCCTCCAAAGCTACCATGCCAGTGAAGCATCCTCCCAAAGCTACTGCTGCAATCAAGAAATCCCCTGAAGTTATCCCATCAGACATTGCGCCTTCCAAAACAACCTTGTTGGTTAAGGAGCTTCCCAAACCTACCCCACCAGTCAGGCATCCACCCAAAACAACTACCGCAGGTAAGGGGCCCCCTGCAACCATTCCACCAGTCAGGAGCCCTGCAAAGCCTGTTAAATCAATCGAAGAGTCCCAACAAACCATGCCACCAGTCAGACATTCTCCCAAACCTACTGTTGCAATCAAGCCCTCTGAAACGACCCCACCACTCATGGGGTTTCCAAAACCTACTTTCCTGGTTAAGGAGCCTCCCCAAGGCACACCACCAGCCAAATATCCTTCAGAAACTGCTATTGCAATTGAGGAGCTCCCCAAAGTCACCCCACCAGTTAAGGGTTCTCAAAAACCTACTGTGCCCATCAAAGAGCCCCCTGAAACAATGCCACCACCCAGACACTCTCCCAAACCTACTGTTGCAATCAAGGATCTTTCCAAAGGCACATCACCACTCAAGGAACCTGCAAAGCCTACTGTCTCAGTCCAAGAGCCCGCCAAAGCTACTCCACTAGCTAGGGAGCCTCCAAAATCTACTATCACCATCAAAGAGCCCCCTGAAGCCACTGCACCTGCAAGACAACCTCCACAACCTACTAGTGCAATTAAGGAGCCCCTTGAAGCCACAGCACCAGCCAGGGAGCCTCCAAAACCTACTGTTTCCATCCAGGAGACCCCCATAATCACCCCACCAGCCAGGGAGCCTCCCAAACCTACTGCTTCCATCCAGGAGACCCCCAAAGTTTTCCCACCAGCCAGGGAGCCTCCCAAACCTACTGCTTCCATCCAGGAGACCCCCATAATCCCCCCACCAGCCAGGGAGCCTCCCAACCCTACTGCTTCCATCCAGGAGACCCCCATAATCCCCCCACCAGCCAGGGAGCCTCCCAAACCTACTTTTTCTATCCAGGAGCCCCCCAAATTCATCCCACCAGCCAGGGAGCCTCCAAAACCTACTGTTTCCATCCAGGAGCCCCCCAAATTCATCCCACCAGCCAGGGAGCCTCCAAAACCTACTATTCTAATCAAGGAGCCTCCTGAAGACACTCCACCAGCCGGGGAGCCTCCAATCCCTTCCATCCCAATCAAGGAGCCTCCTGAAGCCACCCTACCCAGCCCAGGGTCCTCCAGAATCTAGCATTCCAAACAAGGAACCTGCTTTCCCAGAAAGCCATGCCCCACAAGCCAGTGCTTCATGATTCAAAGAACCTGCATTTGCCAACCTCCCAGGCAAGGCTATTCTACCGTGTCTCTTGAGAAGTCTTCACATTCCCACAAATACCCTTTTCTCAATCATTGGTCTCATGAACCCCTCTCTCTCCTCTGAAGGTCTTCAAAAGTCCATTGTTTTCCTAAGCAGACTCAGTCAGCAAAGTGATCAAGCCGGACTTTTAAAAAAAAAAATCAAGTTTTTCCCTGTGGTTTTATAGCATGTCATGGACAGTGAGAAAGCCTAAACACCATTGTTTTCCTAAGCAGACTCAGTCAGCAAAGTGATCAAGCCTGACTTTTTTTAAAAAATCAAGTTTTTCCCTGTGGTTTTATAGCATGCCATGGTCAGTGAGAAAGCCTAAACATTTGCTGGACTGAATCCATCACTATAGCTACTCCTTTTTAGAAATAAGTGTTTTATACTCTGTTATCTGCAAAAGCATGTTCCTAATAGAATTACACAGCAAACAGGGGTTACAAAAAATAAGGGACATTCATATTCACAATGTAATATGAAATCCTAGAAGATCTTATTAATGTATCTGCAGATGGATTGCCAGGAAATGCTATCAAATAATGCAAGATACTGTATTTTTAAAAAAGTCTTTTATTTGTCTTGGACCTAGTATTTTCTCAGGGCTTGGAAACATTCCTTTTTAATCTTTATGAGTCGCTTGTTAGAAGCAACATTTTGCAATAAGCAGATATTGCCTGTTATATGTTAATAACGTCTTAGAAATCTCAACATTATCCTTTGCCACAGAACCCCTCACACAGATAAAGCCATTGCTTATAGTGCATTATTTCTAAGCTCTGCCATTAATATTGTTAATAAAGCAAAAAATAAACTTGGAAACGTTTGGAGCCCTGTTTCCCTTTCAGTGCTGTATAAGAGATAAATATAACTGCAATCATGATTGTGTGACTGTTTTATGAATGAACCTCTAGTGAATCTATTTCTTTAAAATAATTTATCCCACTTTTCTCCTTTAAAAAAGGAGCCAAGGCAGCTTACATCAAGACAATATTAAGCACTAAAAAGAGTAAATTATTCAAATATTTTTAAAAACTTAAATACTGTAAACATTATATTAAAATGTTAGGCAAAAGCTTTACTAAAATAGATTTTAAAGCAACAAAAATCCAAACCATTGTGTTTTAAAACCTCTTAGACAGCCAGTGACTCAGGAATAGCCTGCTTGAAGAAAAAGATTTTCATCTCTTTGCAGAAGGACAGCAAAGATGGGGTCAGCCTGGACTCTTGTGGAGGTTCCAGAGTCTGGTAGCAGCAAGAGGGACGTTGCTGTCCTGTATCCCTACCAAACACACGTACAAGGGTGGTGGGATTCAGAGAAAAGCCTCCTCTGATGATCTTAACAAATGAGCCGGCTGGTAAAGGGAGATGTGATACTTGAGATGGCTTGAATCCAACCAACCGTCACTATAATGCCAGTTGTTTTTACTAGGACATTTATCGATTCATGGATCTGATCTGGTGCCACAGAAGAGAAAGGGTGTTTTGAAATTTGGATCTATATCCAAGTGTGATGGTCAAGGTAGGCATCACTCCCACACCCCATAAACTTGCACAATAAAACGTTGCTTCAGTGAGCACCGTGGCAGCTTTGGAGCTTAACAAATTTGTAGTAAAAGTCTACAAGGTGAACAACTGTGAGTCTGGATAGCAACAGTGTGAGCTTTCATGGATTTTGCTTCCTCAGACCCTGGAGTGCAAATACATGACCAGTGTATTTATAGAGTCCCACAATAAGGTGAGGATACAGATAATTAATTAATTAACTAATTAACTATTAATTAATTAATTAATTATTAACAGTGGCTATTTACATAGTTCATTACTTTAATTAGCAGATCCTGATCAGGCCATTAGTTGTAGGCAAGGTGCCGCAGGGATGCTAGGTTTTTTTTTAAAATCAGACAGAGGTCAGCATCTATTGAAACATGCAACTGTTTTATACCCATATCACAGAAAGTCAAGTTATCAATAATTGTGGTATGCTCAGAACCCTTGATCTCTATTGAGGCCCTTGGAGATGCTCTGTAATATTTTTATGTATCCCTCTTGAATCACTCTTTGTAATTCCTTTTTATTTTTCTGTAACACTTTGAAATACGTAACAAATCCACAGCACAGAGGATGAAGTTTGCTGAAACCTCTTTCTCTGTCTCGCAACTCCTGATGTCAGATTTGGTCCATTGACCCTTTTGCACAGAGGTTGTCCTGTTTGACCTTTGTAGAAAGCAAGGTAGAAGATGGTAGAAGATGGCATAAATCACATGAGAGGGCTAACAAGTAAATCAATCCACTGACATCGATGATGCCCTTGATGGTGATGCTGGTGCCAATATGGCGGCACACACTAAAATTTAAATGTTAGTCTTTAAAGCACTGCAGTATTTAATTTTTCTCCTTTTCTTTTGCCAGCACACTAAGACAGACTAACACAGTTACTTCATTGGCAAGTGATTCCAGGATTTTTGTTATGCTTCCATCTGACATTGCCCCCATATACATGCAACAATGTCAGATCAATATTGTACCAGTGTGCCAAATTCAATTCAAGAACAATTAAATAATGCACTTCTATTACTCACTTACAGGGACACGGTGGGGCTGCGGGTTAAACGGTAAAGCCTCTGGGCTGCAAGGTTAAAAGATCAGCAGTTCAAATCCACGCAACGGAGTGAGCTCCCATTGCTTGTTCCACCTCCTGCCAACCTAGCAGTTTGAACGCATATAAAAATGCGAGTAGATAAATAGGTACCACAATGGTGGAAAGGTAACAGTGTTCCATGTCTAGTCGCACTGGCCACGTGACCACGGAAACTGTCTTCGGACAAACTCTGGCTCTACGGCTTGGAGACGGGGATGAGCACCTCCCCCTAGAGTCAGGCAGGACTGGACAAATTGTCAAGACGAACCTTTACCTATCACTCGTTTCCTACAGGACATACACACATACACACACAGAGAGAGCTTCATAGCGCTTAAAGCATTCTATGGGCAGTTTATAATTTTTAAGGTTGCTGGCTCAAGGCTGACTTAGACTGCAGCTTAACCACTGTACCATGGGGGGGGTTGTCATCTTAACTGGTTTTATTGGCTACTCAATAGATCATACAAGTCATCTCCCTAGTCCCTTCCCCAGTTCCCAACAGTCCTTTGCCTTGGACCCTGACTAGGCAGCAGCCACAAAATTAAGACGCCTGCTTCTTGGGAGGAAAGCAATGACAAACGTAGACAGCATCTTTAAAAGCAGAGACATCATCTTGCTGACAAAGATCTGCATAGTCAAAGCTATGGTTTTTCCAGTAGCAATGTATGGAAGTGAGAGCTGAAGCATAAAGAAAGCTGACCGCCGAAGAATTGATGCTTTTCAATTGTGGTGCTGGAGGAGACTCTTGGGAGTCCCCTGGACTGCAAAGAGAACAAACCTATCCATTTTGAAGGAAATCAACCCTGAGTGCTCACTGGAAGGACAGATCCTGAAGCTGAGGCTCCAATATTTTGGCCATCTCATGAGAAGAGAAGACTCCTTGGAAAAAGACCTTGATGTTAGGAAAGTGTGAGGGCAGGAGAAGGGGACGTCAAAGGATGAGATGGTTGGACAGTGTCATCGAAGCAACCAACATGAATTTGACCAAACTCTGGGAGGCAGTGGAAGACAGGACGGCCTGGTGTGCTCTGGTCCATGGGGTCTCTAAGAGTTGAACATGACTAAATAACTAAACAGCAACAATCATCATAGGGTTTTTATCATAAGGAAATTTCAGCAAGCGTTTATTATTGCCCCTTTGAACAGTTCTACAATTTAGTTCGAGTGTCACCACCATTACCTTTCTGCCAGTGTCATCTTCAGCTTTCGCTGTTGCCCAGTAACTACTTTGAAGAGGACAGAGGCATCTTACTCTCAGCTATGAATTCCCCCTTGGGTGACCTTACTAGGCTTCCAGAGTAGTGATGGTATCTGGCCTTGTGACAGAATTGCTCTTAGTTTCACTGACATTCTCAAAACGCTCCTGAGTTACATCTGACAACACTACCTTACTAACACAGCTCTGTTCTAGAACAATCTCCTTTCAACCTCCTGGTATGGAATTGTAATCAAGTGAAATTTAGATGGTATATCAACCCCTGAGATAACAGGTTGTGTCAAATTGGTAAGAGCTACGGGCATTTTACCGTGAGATTAATGAGATCTGAGCTCCATGGTCTCTTGAGGCAAGTGAAGTGCTACCAATGTTCACACTGATCTTTTTGCTTGGACCTTCCTGAATGCCCTGGAGACAAAAGAAATAAAGGGAAGGAACAACACAGTCCCCAGCACGATGGGGAGGACAGACTATCTACTTCTATACTCCCAAGAGTGAACATCGAGCAATGTACTTCTGAACCTTGACGTTCTGGTGAGGCAAATAGGCCCATCATGAGCACACCCACCTTCTCTACTATTGCGCCGAACACCTGGGAATGGAAGGCCTACTCCCCAATTCCACATCTGTTCGTCTCAATCAAACTACCTTTTCAGCAGGAATTCCCTTCACATGAATTGCAGATAAAAGACAAGAGATTCTACTCTGCCCCAGAGAAGTCTCAATTCTCCCATGAGGCTTCTCAATCTCGTGTCACCTTATTTCACAGTATGTCTCAGACCTAGAAGTTGAGTTCTCTGGAAAACCTGAACTTTGTAGCTAAGGCAAGACAGAAAACTGGGAGGATACATTCTCCATCAGGGGAAGACATCTCCAAAGATGACCGACGTATGATCTGGAGTGAATAGAAGATGGTTATCCACTCTCAGATACCCTCCTCCACTGCCAGAAAATGGTGAGTTCTTACTTCAGCTACACACAACTCTTGCTGGATTTCTAAGGAGGAACAAACCTGGCCACCAAGCTTGCAAAAAGTTCTCATTTATGCTCTAATTTGTCTCTAAATAGGACTTGTTTTCTTCTTCCAGCACATTTCTCCTCATCTTCTTTTTTGGTACCAGGTGAAGATATATACATATTTTATTAAACCATCTCTTCTTGACAGAAGATTTCAATGCTTCAGACTGTTGGCTTACAGTCTTTTTCCTGAAAGTGTGCCACAATTGGTAAATCTCTTTGAATAGTTCATCCATCATACATCACATTAAACGTTGTAACAAAATAACCCACAGGATGGCTTGGAGTAGGGGTGCTCAAAATCTGGGCCCTACAGCTACTTTGGGCTTTTAATTCCCAGAAGCCCTGTCCAATAATCAAGGACTTGTAGAACTAAGGTCAAAAACATTTGAAGAGTCAAGGTTCAAGAATTACTATGTTTAGAGGCACATAGATCATTCCAGATGAAGTTATGTTGTCTATGGATGGAAGGCCATCTCAGAAATGATACCCTGGCCCTGTGAGTTCATCAGATGAAGTGTAGGAAAAAAGTGGAATTAATGAGACATTCAAGTAGGATAGGAAGTTAGAAGGTGTAAAGACAACAGATGACTTTGTGAATAGGGCACACGGGAGTTTCCACACAGAACACACTTTTAGAATTGTCTAGCAGCTGCCGCTCCCCTTACTCCACAGGGCGCTCATTTCAGGACTGTTAACTTTTGCCTCTTCCATTCTTATTTATTACCCTGGCACCTTCCTTTGCTATTCCAGTGAGTGTTAGAAACCCCCTTTTCCTTGTGCCTTATACACCCAGAAAGAAGAACTGAGGCACAGCCAGACAGGATTAAATAACAAGGGACCGTGAGAAAAACAAGTTAGGAAGGGAGCGAGGGTATCATCCCAACTCCACAATTTAACTGATGACTCTGGCTCTGGGTTATTTGTGCCCACAGGTCAGGATACCTGGACCTGAAGAGAGAGAGAGAGAGACAACAAAGCAGCATGTGGTCATTAAAATTTTTAATACATTAAAAAAAATAGAGACCAGTTCTGATTCAACAATTAATTCTTTTCTTGTGAGAGAAAAGAATTACGTGCCCCCACAAAAAAAACGTAAACGGACTGCTTGAGGCATAAGGGAAAGGGGTCAGGAGCATTTGGTGCTGGTGCTGCAGCCACCACTCACGCTGAAGGGAGACACAAAACCACACGTTAGCAAGTAAAGAACAGCTATGGCTTCTGTAGAACTTCCCTGAACGGAACGTGCCAGAATTCTTCAGCATTCTGAGTGGCCCCCATCTTTTACCCCATGAGTGACATTCAGTTCCAACTTCCCAGCTCCTCAAAACAAACAAACAGAAATCTTCCTGGTCCTCAGACAGAATTAACCATCCAAACGCAACAATCTTGAAAACAAAGAAAACCATGCCCCGGACTACCAGTCAAGTTTTAGATGGAAAATGAAGGAAAGGGGAATCTTTAGGAAAGAGAAAACCTAATCTTCAATCCCATCCTTCCTGTGTTTGGTGTAGAGTAGGTATTTCCACACTGTGGTCCTAGACACCTCCAGGAGAGTGATAAGCAGGATGGGCAGGCAAGGAAAACGCAACAAAGGGCCCAGACAGACACATAAGCCACTGCTACACATTTCCCTCCTGTCAACATGTAGAGCTATTTTGCCAAGCATGTGAGATTTTAATAGTGCTGGGAGCTGGTGATCACCACAAATTGTCAAGATATGCCACAGACCACGCTGCAACTCTGGCAGAAGAAAAGTGGAACGGCCAAAGCAAGACAGGAGACTTGCCTTTAAAAAGACATTTTCTTCTCTGTGCCCAGTTGCAGATGTAGTCTACCACAAAAGTGAGTGACAAAGACAACAGACGACAAGAGGATTATGACTTGTTGTGCCAAGCTATTGAACAAGAGGGAAAAATATATATAAAGCTATTTATGGCAAGGAATAATCCTTTCAGATTTCCCAGCCTTTTCCAGTGTCAAAATAAAACTTCTGCCCTTCATTGCCCCACAGGGCAGAGTCCCATCACAAATCCCCCCTTCCAGCTTGGTTCTTAACAGGTACCACTTCCTGACGGCCAAGGGTTTAGGCGGCACTGTGGGCAGCAACCCGAGTACACAAGAACATCACAGGCCTCAGACCGTCTGCCCGCATGCCACCCTGCAGGCCAGCCAGAACAAAGCTGATAAGCCTCCAGGTCACAAATAAGTTCCACCACCTCATCAACAGTGGTGAGGCGGGCAGGGTGGCTGGCATAGAGTTTATGGCCAGGGGGCACAGGCAGGTCTCGCACCACCACATGGAAGAAAAGGCCTGGGCGGATGTGGATGACCGCTGCTGACATGGTGGAGTGTTTCGAGCGCTGTACAAGACGCAGGTCAGGGCCACCCACGGGAGGCAGCACTTCCCAATGAGCAGGGAGAGGGATCTCGTTGAGCTCATTCAAGAACTCTCGCAGGACACTGTCCAACTGGTTCAGAGGTTGCACGCCACCCAGGCTGAGGATCTCCATTATCTAGTGCAGAAGAGAAAGAAGAATGCCAGCTTAATACCTTCTGCTTTCCCCTTCATAACACACAAACCATATGACATGGAAAATCTGTGGCAAAACTGACTCATTTCTACTTTCTGGCTCCCTCTCTATAATCTGAAGGAAAAAGGACCGTGATAAGCCACTTCCCAAAAAACCCAGAAAACCCCTTCTCCCAAAGTAACCCTCAAAAGGCTGCCGCTTCCCCTAGATTTACACCACCATAGTACAAAGACTCCCAATATTGCATCAGTGTCTGGCCATGTGACAGAGCAATTGATAATGCAGTCAAGAGGAAAGAAAGGAATGCAGTACATGAACCAATACTTCTCTGTTTTTGTGTTGTTGTTTTGGAAAAAGAAAAGGCTTTGGTCAGATGGCAGGGAAACTACTCTAATTTCATTCAGCTTTGGGACAATGCCCAGCACGACATCTAGTCATTCATAAATGAGATTAATTTCATCTGTTGTGACCTAAAGATATGGAACAAGGGGTTTCAAGAACTGCAGCCTACCATGCTCTTATTCAACCACCTTCCCTTCTTTGCAATACCTAATTATTTGAGGAGGTGTTTAGCCTGCCTCAAGGGCAGTAACTAGTAAGGCAGCTCCTAAAGAAATCCTAATTGATCCACAAATATCCCCTCTCTGAACAAAGTACTCAGGCAGATGGCTGCTGTGCAGTTCTTAGAATTCTCAATGAAACTGGTTGTCTGGATCCATTTCCACTTCCAGCTGTGTCCTGGCACAGAAACTGTCCTGATGGATAACTTGCATCAAGAAGACAAGAGACAGCAACCAAATAATTCCCCTAGATAATTCTCCAACGCTTTTTAGGAAAATACCATTTTGTTTTCCTAGGCTTTTAAATCATAGTGATTTTTTTAATTTGTTTTTTTCCTGCTGTTATCGCTTTTAGTACTGCCCTTTAAAATTATTTTTGAATTAGTTATTGGAAATTCTGAAATCAACTTCGGCACAGAAGTGTTTTAAATAATAAATTTGCAGATGGGAGTGAACCTACCAAAGCAACTTCCACTGGTTTTTATAATGGTGTCCTGCTGCAACCTCACTCAAAAACCTTTTATTATCGGCAAGGAGCTCATCATAAACTATTGAAGCTTCTGCTCTTCTCACTGGACTTGTCACCTGTTCTAGCCTCAACTAGTCCCAGCCTGTCACACCGCCCCCCGCCCCCCCCCCCCNGAATATGGGAAAAACTGACCCAGCTTCTCCCAATCTTGATCATGGAGGAAAAAAAACACGGATTTCTAATTGTTGATTCATTTGCCCTAAAGAGCTTCACCACTCACCACTGGAGGCCGAATTTGCCGCTGCTGCTCCACTTCTTCATCATCCTCTTCATCATCTAGAACCACCACTTCTCCACCCTGCTGTGTTCCCTGTAGCCTCTTAACTTGGGGGAGCCCTGCTAACACCTGTAGGACCAAAGGCAGGAGGTTTAGCTTGGTATAAGCCACTCCGGCCTTTCTTTGGGTTCTAACATATATGTACAATCCATTCCAGAGAACAAGATCTACTTCTACTAGATTTCTTTCCCGAGTTTCAGGGCCAAACTGTCACTTGGTGAATAACACTTTCATTTGACACATGAATTAGCTAATGAAGTCAAAGAGCCAACGTAGCTGCTAGGTCCAGGCCCTATGATTGCAATACTAAACATAGTTACTAGAAAGCAAGTCTCAAATGAACACATGGGACTAACTTCTGAGTAAAAAAATGCATATGACTAGACTTCAAAGAATGCAGTCGTCCCAGAAAATGCCTTTGAACATCTCTGCAAGGACCTTGGCACAATATTCCCTGTTGTTTGTAAGATCACAGGCCAAACTAGTGAAGGAATAGCCCCTGAGGCCTTTTGTGGAACAAATGTTGGTGAACATTGGTGAAGAGCCTCGTGGCGCAGTGGTTAAACTGCTGTACTGCAGCCAAAACTACAGTGGGACCTCGACTTACGAACGGCCCTAGTTGCGAACTTTTCGGGTTATGAACCCGATCTCATCGCAAGTAGTAAACCCTACTTATGAACTTGGATCGGGTTACGAACCCAAAAGGAAGGGAGAAAGGGCGGGAAATTCGAATTTCCTGCCCTTCCTCCCTGCCTTTGGAGCTTTCAAAAGGCTTCCTCTGACATCGGAGGAAGCCTCTGAAACCTCCGAAGCCAAAAAGGCAGGGAGAAAGGGCGGGAAGTTCAAACTTCCCACGCTTTCTCCCTGCCTTTTTGGCTTCGGAAGCAAGCCGGGCTGCCAGGGAGAAATCGGCTCCCTCCTTTCATCCAATGCTGAGTCCCCTTCAGCATCAGGTGAAAAGAGGGAGCCGATTTCTCCCGCCTGCCCGGCTTGCTTCTTGTTTAGAAAAGCAAGCTGGGCGGCTGGGGAGAAATCGGCTCCGTCCTTTCACCCGATGCCAAGTCCCCTTCACGCTGGCTGAGTTCAGCCCAGCTGTTTTGATCGTCGTAATGCGAAGAATCAGTTCCCGAAACAGGGAACCGATCATCGCACAGTGAAATTCCCCCATTTAAAACATCGTTTTGTGATCACAATTACTGGTAAGTCTTTTTTTAAAAAGCTTTTCTGTGTGGGTTTTGGAGAGTGGGTTTGGACTGGGGGGGTTATGTTTCTGTGGGTTTTTGTATGTGTGTGTGTGTTCTGCAGTCCCAACGTGGGATTTGCTCTTATTTTTATTTTTGTATTTTTTTCGAAATGCTGGAATGGATTAATTCCGTTCCCATGCATTTCAATGGGAAGTGGTAGGTCGACTTACGAACTTTCCGAGGGACGATCGTCCTCCCAGAACAGATTAAGTTCGTAAGTCGAGGGCCCACTGTATGCTCACGACCTGGGGTTCAATCCCAGATAGCCAGCTCAAAGTTGACTCAGCCTTCTATCCTTCTGAGGTCAGTAAAATGAGTACCCAGCTCGCTGGAGGGGGGGGGCAATGTATAGCCTGCATAACTAACTTGTAAACCGCCCAGAGAGTGCTTGAAGTGCTATGGGGCGGTATATAAGTAGCACACTTTGCTTTGCTTTTGCTTGAACATCCTGCTTAACTTCCAAAAACAGACAATATCAGGCAGATTCATATAAACCAGGCATGGACAAAGATTGGCTATCCAGACTCTTTTTTTACTACAACTCCTACCAGCCCTAACGAGCAGAGCCAACAGAGAAGGAGGCTGGGGGTTGTCGTCCAACACCATTTAGAGAGCTAGCTTTGCCCTTTCCTGGTATCCAGGGAGCACCTTGCTGCACCGTACTGGAGGCTCAGAAAGGGAAGGCACAAATCTGGGATTTGAACTAGCTGCCAAGCTTTCTGGCAAGCGCGTGAAAAAGCATCAAGAGCATTCTAGGCAAAGCAGATTTGGTCTTGCAAAGAGAAGGATGTCATGTTTTAAAGATGCAGACTGGAAAGTGAAGAGGACAACCTCAAAGATGAAAAGAGGACATGACAAAGCAGGCCACGAAAAAGTCAGAAAAACCAATTTTGTAAGCTGCCTCTTCATACTCACTGTTCTTAGCTTTAAATATTGTCTTTTAATGACGTAAACCACTGTTGTTTACTCATTGTTTTCAGCGTTTAATATTGTCTTTCAAGGACGTAAGCCTCCTTGGGTCCTTTTTTAAGGAGAAAAGTGGGGTAAAATATTTTAAATAAATAAATAGAAAAATGTTTAATTTGGAGGAAGAAGAGAACGAAAAGACGAAGGGGAGAGAAAATGAATTTGTTTATACCTGAAGGGAACCATACATTTTGCCCACTCAACATGAACTAAAGTGCAAGCATCCATGAAATGAAAATGTGCTGTTTCTGTTGCTGCCACCTATTGGATGTGGCTAACTGTACAAGTGGTAAAGCAAAATGCCCAAAAAGACAAATTGGTAAGATTTACTACAGTCTTTATTTTTTTAATGTTGGCTGAAATTCTTTGCCTAGTCTACTAAGTTGCTACTACAGCAGGCATACTGAATAAATGGAGATTTGGTGAGTCAACTGCTGTGTAAGTTCCAATGAGTCAAAAGGGCCTAGTGTAGCTGCAACTTACTTCAGTGTAGCAGGTTGCAAGTGGGGTAAGCCCATTTGAATCAATGGAACTTATGGAGCAGGTGACTCACCAAGTCCCCACTGATTCAGTGGGCCTACCCTACGTGACTTACTATGCTAAGCAACATAGCCATTATGTGTCTTAGGTCACCAACTTAACAGTGTTGATAATGAACCTTCGACATTAAGGAAGCTCAGGCTGTGGAGCTATGGGAAAGGAAGCCAAGGGTGATCAGGCTGCTTGCAAGGGACAGAAAGGAAGCCATACACCAAGGGTGATCAGGCTGCTTGCAAGGGACCATTTACTATTGATATTTTAGAACACACCATCTGTACAACACTCTGTACACCGCGTGTTAGCACTTCAATTTGTCCATTTTTTTTTCGCTCCATAAGACGCACCTTAGCATAAGATGCAGCACACCATCTGTACAACACTCTGTACACCACGTGTTAGCACTTCAAATTGTCCTTTTTTCATTCCATAAGACGCACCTTAGCATAAGATGCAGCTAATTTTTAGAGGAGGAAAACAGGAAAAAAATATTCTGAACCAAATAGTGTAATAAAGTTGTGTGGTATCTCTATAGGCAGAGTGGTCCCACGTGAGGAGGTCTATTACTTTATATAGTACATTTTGAATTATGTTCACCAGTAGGGAAGTGGACACCCCAAGGCGCAATACATCAGTGTAAAGTATCAAAAATTCAGGTTTAAGATACCATTAGAGTGGGTAGCTTTGAATAGTATGACAACTCTCAAAAGAACTAAAAGCCTTTCACTCAGTGAGCGACTGAAACAAATCCTACTTTTCACCAACAATGCCTCATATGCCCCTTAATGTCACCAGTCAGCAATCCAGCCAGGAATTCTTCTGTATTATGTTATTTACGGTACCTGGATGAGTCTTCTCCCTTCCTCCGTGGAGCTCTCCTCTCTCTCTCCCTGCTTCCCCCAGCATCTGGCTGATCACGTGATCCAGCTGTCCAATAAGCAGCACTGGTCCTACAGGGCTGCTATGGATGCCCTGTAGTATCAGTGCTATTAATGAATACAGTTACTGGGGGGGTGTCTGTTAAGCCACCACCATTTTACTAATGAATACAGTTACTGGGGGAGGGGGTCTGTTAAGCCACCACCATTTTGCCTAGTCCCAGCAAGCTTGAGGCAGCGTCCTTCCAGATCAGCGTTGTAAAAAAGGTTTAATTATCAGACTGACCACTAGAGCAAACCAAACGCAGTGTATTTTCTTCATAAGACACACAGACTTTTCATCTCACTTTTTTTGAAAGGAAAAGTGCATACAGTTACTGGGGGAGGGGGTCTGTTAAGCCACCACCATTTTGCCTAGTCCCAGCAAGCTTGAGGCAGCGTCCTTCCAGATCAGCGTTGTAAAAAAGGTTTAATTATCAGACTGACCACTAGAGCAAACCAAACGCAGTGTATTTTCTTCATAAGACACACAGACTTTTCATCTCACTTTTTTTGAAAGGAAAAGTGCATCTTATGGAGCAAAAATACGGTACTTTTGGATGTTTGGACCTGTCATATAATGTTAAATTCCATCATCCTACTTCTGAGATGTATTGGTTTTGTGAGCCAAGAGCAGGATCTTCAAAGTCAAGGTGGGAGGAAGATGCAACACAGTTTGTAACTTACCGGAGAATCATTGGATGGTCGACGGTCCCCACCTGGTTCTACATGGTCCTGTTTGATTTTGGGAGAGGTGGCAATAAGGAGGTTGACAGCAGGTAACCTGGTGTCCGATTCCTACAAATCAAGTTAGACAAAAACATCAGAACCCACAAAGGAGGAGGAAGTAAATCCTCAAATGCTTCTAACTTTGTACAAATGTGAATATGAAGAAGCCAGGGAACTGCCTCCTGTAAGGCAGACATGGAATCACAGAATAAAATAATTGCAAAGTCGGAATGGAAGTGGAACGCACCATCTTCTGGTGTAGTTCCTTGCCACTGCTGAACAATGTCGACTGTCAGGAACTTGTTTCCACTGTTCAGCTGGAATCTCCCTTCTGGAAACTTAGATCTAATTGTTCAAGTCCTATTCCTTGAAACAACAGAAAAGGAGCTCACTCCATCTTTCAATGCAACAGCCCCTCAGGTCTCTGAAAGTGTGCCCTGTCGCAAACACGGGTTCGAAAACACACGTGTAAGCTTGGACAGAGAGCAATCAGGAGTTTGCACATGCTAAAATGGGCTGAAAGAGTCCAATTCAGCTAGCCATGCTACAACACTCCTTCTCGCAGGTCTGCCCACATAAGAACACCCTCTGGAAACTTAGATCTAATTGTTCAAGTCCTATTCCTTGAAACAACAGAAAAGGAGCTCACTCCATCTTTCAATGCAACAGCCCTTAAGGTCTCTGAAAGTGTGCCCTACTGCTTGTACCTAGTTATACTGAATCAGCAGCAACCTAGGTGAGATTGAGTGGATCGTGGCCTTAACCCATTGCACAAGGGAAAGTCTCGTGGAAAGGGGGTGTCTTTGTGACCTTTTCCCCATATTATTTACATTCAAATTATTTACATTCAAATAACATGGGAGGCTGAATAAGTGGATAAAAGGTGCTTTTGATATGGGATTGGAGGCCTTGACTGTAATTGTCAATTTCTGTTCTTCTAAAGGAGGCAAGACTATGTCATGCCATCTTCAGGATTTTCTGATTTTCAGAAAATATTTGCTGTCAAATGTACCAGGCCGTTAATTGTAAAAGCCTAATCGCTATGCGATTTCGTCGTTATACGGTGCGCTCGTTAAGCGAGGCACCACTGTATATTCAAATAACATGGGAGGCTGAATAAGTGGATAAAAGGTGCTTTTGATATGGGATTGGAGGCCTTGACTGTAATTGTCAATTTCTGTTCTTCTAAAGGAGGCAAGACTATGTCATGCCGTCTTCAGGATTTTCTGATTTTCAGAAAATATTTGCTGTCAAATGTACCAGGCCGTTAGACATACAACAATCTGGCAGAAGCCTGTGTGACCAGAAGCACATGGTAGGAGATTGGGGTGAAATTAATCAAGAACCTAGTCTGAGAGTCATGGCCTTGGAAAATGCAGAGAGAAGCAGAGCTTTCTGCATGCTGGCAGGCATCTTTTTGCAACTTCCTTCTCAAGGTCGCCAGGGATGTTCACCATTTATAATTTTCTGAAGACTGGTCAAGGCTCTTCCATTTCAGGAAGCCTCTGGGTGAAATTTTAGCTTTGTTACTGCTGCTTTTATGTGATTAACATAACTATTTCCAAAATGGCCGCCGGAAGGTCCGCGCCGCATTTTCGCGCCCTGCCCTCGCTTACCGAGGGCGCGAAAATGGCGGCGCTATGGGACAACATCGCTTAACGGTGAGTTTTCAAGCCATATTTCCGTTTAGCGATGTTTTCGCATAGCGAAGGTTAATCCGGAACGGATTAACCTCGCTATGCGAGGCACCACTGTATTTTAATTGCTAGCAGTTTTTCTTATATGTTTATATTTTGTGACTACTTATTTGTGTGCCAGTTAGAGACAAAAAAGAACAAGAAAAGACAATATTCTTTGTTCCGAAACAACTCTTGGGGCAGTTAAGGTCATAACATGGCAAGAACAAAGAATTTTCTCACTCACCTTCGCCAGAACATGGATGGGTGGGGTGGGGCAGCAAGGGGCCTCTGGCTCCTGCTTGACAGGTGGTGCTGGCGTGCGGTGATCCTCGATGGTTCCCTGGGCCAGAGTAAAACCACTCCCCTCTGGTTTGTTCTTCAACTCCAGTGGTGGCAGCAGTGACAGTGGTGGCAGCAGCAGCTGCTGCTGCTGCTGCTGCTGGGGCTTTTCTGGGCTGTGTGGCTTGGGTGGATCAACTGGCTCACCACTTGAAGAGCACTCCTGCTGTAGCATAGGGTGGGTGAGATTACAGAACAGTGAAGGGACACGATCAGATGAGAAAGTTAAGAAGCTGCCTTACACTTCAGACTATGTGACCACCTAGTCTAGTGACATCTGCTCTGACTGACAGTGTCTCGTAGCATCTACAGCAGAATTGTGCCCCATTAACCTTGTCCACATTTTAAACTGAGACTGAACCTAAGATCTTTTGCACACAAAGGATGTGTTCTCCGAGAGGAGAACATCTATCATCCCCTACCATGCATGCTGCTTGCTAGAGCTGATACAAATGTTGTTCCCCACTGCTGTCCTATGCCTAACCTGAAGCACGGCTGATGATGAGCTTAAGTTTATATGTTTATAAATGTATTCAGCTTGTAGAATCAGACATGATTGAATTTGTTTTTTCAAGAGTACATAGGTACTTGATTGTACCACCATTCTGAGAATCCCTGCTCTCACTGAAATGCACCCAATAAGAAACCAACACACACATGTTCCAGCTCACAATCCACAGTATCTCTGCCCTTATCTTTATCACCAAGTCGGTACTGAGTCAGGTTGTGTTAGAAATATCTGAGCAGGCACAACACATATTTTAACACTATGTTGTTATAACACAACTGACAGGCCAGACAAATGACAATTATACCACGAAGTTGCACCTATTCTAAACTAAAGTCATTGTAAAATGTTTTTTTGAAAAGGTGAACAACCTCTTCGAAATCCATTCCAAGGCCCAGACCAGGACAGATGTTAATAATTTTTGGCTTGGCGCCTGACTCCCATCATGTTTTCTAGCCTATGAATGCCAGAAATATTTCTCACAAAACCGTCAAAACTATCTGAATCTAAACAGGAGACTTATGGTTATGGAAGAGTGCTTTAACTCACCATTTACTGCCCTCCCCTAGCTCAGGGCTATCAATACACAAGGTTATCATTCAGAATAGTGAGTGACGGCCTTTCCTCTTTCAAGATTTTTCCTATGAGTCACTTCCTTGCAACTGCAGTTTTGAGAGAAACTACTGTTTAAGGATTCCTAGTGAGGTGTAGTGGCTAGAGTGATGGAGTAGGACTCTGGAGGACGGGGTTCGAATCCTGCTCAGCCATGGAAACTCACTGGGGGAGTGGAACTAGTAAAACCACTCCTTAAATATCTCACTTACCTTGAAAGCCATATTAAATATTTATGTAAATATATTTTAATGCATTCTGACTGCATTGTTTACTTGTACCTTATTATTTTTATTTTCTGTTAGGTTGAATCAGTATCTTAATTATGTTGTTATGTATCTTTGTTGTAAACTTCCCAAAGTGGCCTTGGCCAGATGGGTGGTATAAAAATGAAACAGACCAACAAACAAATAAACAGAATCTCTATGTCAGTTCCAACTTGACAGCATGTGACATCCACATTGTTTAAGGATCCTAGAAAGTCCTGTGCAAATATATCCTTATTCCCAGTGGTCATGGAGAAAAGGGCTTCAGCTTCATTAGCCAAGTAGCAGCAGCAGCAGCAGCAAAAATGTGCTCCAATTGCTCTGGAGTTGTGGGTACCTAGAGACACCCAACACTCTGAAGTGTTACTTTTTGGACTAGAACTCCCAGAACATCTCAAACAATGAGACTCTAGAAACTTAGTTCTAAAAGATGACTTTTCCAAGCTCTCAGGACAGCTTGCCATATACTATCACACAAAAAGCACATGGAGGAAATCAGTTCATTTATCACAGGGGAAGAAAGAATTAGGCAAGACAAAAGAAGCACCTTAGCCAGGATCACACTGATGGGATTAGACATCACCAAAAGCTATTTTCATTAACCAATCTTAATAAACAACTCTGCCCTGTTCTGGAGTCTTCATATTTTAATCCAGCATACTCGTACCTTATATCTGTTCATTGTATTCCTGCATATGGCAGCTTATTCCTCTCTCCTGGCAATCTTCTAATGATTTCGGTAAAAATCAACCCCAAGTTCCAGACAAATGCTGACATGACTGTATTACTTCACTCCATCACTACCTATCCAGCCCCAGGAGTGGTTCCAGATAAAGCTCACCCCTGGCTCCTAAGCCTCTCAACTACCTTGCAATTTCATGACTACTATTCAATTCGCTTGTGAAACGACAAATCTCAAAGCAACAATTAATTCCACCAAATCTTCCAGTAAAAGTGGTTATTTATTTTATAACCACCAGTCTTTTAGTACAGGGCTATTAAATTGTGGAAGGTCAGCGAGATACTGAAAACAGACTTCTGAAATGGTTCTGTTTCTACAGCAATATTCTGCATTTTAAAGAAAAAATAGGCCTCACTTTGCCCATCCTTAATTTAACTTGACTTCAGAATTTGGTCACTGTTTCTCTGTACTAACTTTTATTTATATTTATTTATTGAATTTACAGTGTGGTCTTGACTTGAGAACTTAATCCGTATTGGAAGGCGGTTCTCAAGTCAAAAAGTTCTCAGGTCAAATCTGCATTTCCCATAGGAATGCATTGAAAACCATTTGATCCGTATCTGCTCTTTTCCGTCCATAGAAACTAATGGGAATTCTGGGCAGTTACAGCAAGTTAAAACATTATACTCATGATATATTGAATAAAAACATATAAACAAACCACGAACCAAAAAACTCCAAGAGGCATATAATGTAAAAGTAACTTTTCAGTTCTTATGACTTCAATTACATAATCTTTCCTTCTCAACCATCTCCAACCAACTGTTCTAAATGATATATTTTCTGAACTGTCAAGTCCCTGTATCTTTTCTATAAGTATTTTATAGAGCATTTCAACTTCTAAGTGCAGGGTTACATATTTCCCCCAGTCAGGCACAAGATGCTATGTCAATTTATTTAAAAAAATGTATCAAGTTACAATCCTAATTAAAGACACATGAACAAATTTTAATACCTAACTTTAAAGCCCCCTCACTGTTATTATTGAAATACCAATAAATATATGCCATTGTGCTTGTCATTTCTACTCCCTAGTCCCATTTTGATTCCTATGTACCTCTCACCCCATGCTTTGATATTTATAGGAGAGGTATCCGGAATTCTATGGGCTTGGTCCGTTATATTAACTGTATTATACTAACTATGACTCAGAACCCACCCACCCCCTCCCTTTTTTCTGGGGGACTAAAACTTGTTTTTAATAGGGGCTCAGACTTGGAACTTAGGACCAAGGACTTGGACTTGATACCCAAGACTTCCCAACATCCATGATAAGTGTTCTAAAATAATGCCTAATGATAATCTTACCTTTTTTCTGGACAATAAACAGTATCAGTCTCAACCATTAACTTCCCCCATTATCTTGACTGTACTTCAGACTGCACTCACAGTACTAAACTAAAGGCTAGAAAAATTCTTGTACAAAGCCTGCCAGGTAAAGGATTCCAATGCCTGAACACACCACTAAGAGACCTACCAAAAAAACAAACAAACCTGAAGCCTCTGTTTGTTACAACTAGCATTTTACCCTAATTAATGGTTAATTCCAGAATGAAGCCAAATAATCATGGACAATCGTATCAAAATTCATTTTGATGAATTTTGCCTTTTCAGGGTTGCAATATATCCAATACTGCCTAACTATACAAGCTTTATGTCTGCACTGCTTCTATGTTCCATAAGTAGGACTGCGGAATCCATGAGTGGTTCTAAGCCCTGCACAAAATACAGTAGCACAAAATAAGCACAAAATACATGGATTCATGCGGAATCCATGAGTGGTTCTAAGCCCTGCCTCATGGATGCCAAAAACGAGAGATATGTAAACCCTAAATATAGCATAGTTGCTGGTTCCCTCTAGTGGCTAGTTCTGGTAATACACCTTGGAAACATACATTTCTAGTGTGTTTATTTAATATTTTCAGGGAGCAGATAACTGAAATCACAGGGACTGATTAAAAATGAGGGATTTGTCTTCATCTACAAAGATGAATCCCACCAACACAGGTGGCCAGTCTGATTACCTCTCACCCCCAGAATCCATCACCACATCTACAAAATCTTCATCTACAAAGATGAATCCCACCAGCACAGGTGGCCAGCCTGATTACCTCTCACCCCCAGAATCCATCAATCCACTTACCACATGGCCAGCATAATCGTCAGCACGCCAATCACAGCAGTATCCTCGCTACCGCAGCCTCTCTTCCCTGCTCACTCAGCCACTCTGGAAAGGCAGTAGGATGACAAGTCTTCCCTCTCAGCCGCAGAGTAGCCAGGTGAGCAGAGAGGTGGGGCTGCAACAGCAGGGCTACTGCCGCAATTGGCGTGCTGATGATGCTACAAATCATGCTGCAAATGGCCCAGCAGATTCTGGCGGTGGGAGGTAATCAGGCCGGCGACTAGTGCTGGCGGGAGTTGTCTTTTTAGATGAAAACAAATCCCACATCTCTAGTACTGAACCTTACTGTACTTCAGAGTTCTAAAAATACAAAAAGCTAAGAGCTATGAAGAAAACCATAGGCACAAATACTTAAAATAAAATTGAAACTTAAGTTGTAGGCAACTAATTAAATCAGCATTCAATAGAAAATACAGTAAAATGTGTTTTAAGAGTAAAAAAAGAACAATGAGAATGTTTCAATTGCATTCTAAAAATGAAGGAACTTATAACCTAAAAAGGCACATTTCCACAGCAAAAGGCAGAGAACACATCTCCTAAAATATCAACATTGTTAAAAATAAGAACACATTTCAACAGCAAAAGGCAGAGAACACATCTAAAATATCAACATTGTTAAAAATAAGAATATATAATGTAAAAAAAAATCTTAGCTTCTATGCATATTAAGAACACACACAAAATAATTCCAAATGTTCACCCAGCCAAACCCATTTCAATCTATGGAAGAAAATCCATGTTGATTGTGTTGTTGATATCTGGAAATAAAGCTGCTGCACTGCTACATGACTGGCTGTTTGGTGTCCTGTGCCCAAAGTGGTGTGGATTTGCAATACTAAGATACGTTTCTGAATTT